TTTATCAAACAATATTATATTATATACGTTAGTTGATTCAATTATTTTACGTATAACATTAATTCTACGTAAAACTTATATAATAAAACTTGTATAATTGTCATCTTTATAGTTGTCACTACTATATTTTTCTTCGATTGTGATAATCTTGTAGTTCGAAAAGAAAAGAGAAGAAAAAGTTAACTGATATATCGTGAAATTTGTTCTTCTGTGACATAAATTGTATGTTGGAACGACTTTTATTCATATTTTTATGAAGAATATCAAAAAATAAAACTTTGCGTTTCCAGAAAAAGCTCGAAGATAGCGCGATGCGCTTTATAGACTTCGGCAACTTCGATAACTCATATGCAGTTTCTATACATGTACATATCCATAATATTAAAGTGGAGCAGAAACGTATGTGCTATAGCTACATTAAAATGAAAATGGAAATAAAGCACGACGAATGTTTAGGTCACTAAAATTCTTTCTTCGAGCGCAGTCATATTTAGCCGAAAACTCATGCTTGCTAAAGCTACACATTGCGTACCTGTTTATCCGGCTCTTTGCCTTTGGCGGTGATGAGTCGATCGCAATAACAGCCTTCCAGCAGAATGACACCACTGGGTCGTGAGCAAGCCTCATTCTCGTAATAGAATAACAGATTCTGTAACAGACGTCACAGCCTATGATAAAGTTCGCTCTTCTTTTACAGTGGAGAAAACGTGAAAAAATAAGCATCCGTCATATTTTTGTATGCTTATGCACAGACACGAAAAATAATGATCATGATATTTAAAAATGTTTTGGTCATTTTGGTAATACCAGAAAGTATCAATGAGACAAACTAAGATAATATCAGCCAATATCATTGAAAAAATGTTGATAATATCAGCCCGTGTGAATACGAAACTAACTGCAAAAAACAAAACAACAAATAATTTGATTTATAATGATTTTATAGTTTAGAAATTAAAATGAACATATTTTTCTGCAGTTTTAGGTTAATAATTTTTAAACGAGTAAGTGATTACACGAATATAAATAAGTGACTACAAACTTTTGCACTACATTTATTATTGTTTGATTAGTATATGTATAAAATTTATTTTAATTTTTAATATTACTTCTTCATCAAAAGACCACGCAACAGTTCTTACGATGGAAATGAAATCCCGGATCAGATTAGCCGAAATTTTGATATGATCTAAATTTTAGCTCACTGACCAAAAGTCTCAATAATCATCAAGCTAAATAACCAACAGTTTTGAAATTATGGTAGCTCAAACATTTTTAGAAATATATATAGTATTTTATATAAAGCTGGAACATTCATTTTTTATTAAGATTCGATTTTATGGACTATCTGGAATTAATTTTCTCTTTACAGTTTAATTTGCAGTTTAGATAAATATTCATAAAAATTTTTGACCAATCATGGAACTTAGCTCTTAATGCGCTAATAATTCTAGAGAAAATTTGAGAAGAACTATTTCTGAAACAAATAAATCTCACTCTGTCCTATTATGAATATCAACAAAAAATTAAGAATTTCTAAGATCTTGTTTCAATTTAATAATTAATAGTAATTTTTCTGTATTTTTTCGTAAAAATTTTTTCCCGCTAGAGCAAGAAAAACCATTTTGCATTCGAAAACCATTTAAAATACCTTTTTATCCATTTTACATTTAAAATGGATTCGAAAAACCTACTTTGCATTTTGCATTTTAAATACACTTTTTTAAATTATTATATTTTACAATTAGTATTTTAAATGAAATTTAAAAGGCCTTTTACCCAGCCCTGTTTACATCACATCATACCACCTGATGTGAAAATAAATTTTATATTTAAGCCGCGATAACTTCAAAACTATTGATTAGTCTGGTGACCATTAAGATTTTCGAGCCAAAATCTAGACCATGTCAAAATTTCAATCATTTTAATTGGGACCCTATTTCCATAAGAATTGTTACGAGGTTCTTTACAGATTAATAGAAGAAAGTCGCCGATACTGACATAGGTTTCCTAAAAATACACCCTTATTTCACAAAAAAACTAATTATATATTGCATTTTATTAATACTAATAAAAACAATCTAAGTAGCACACACACGCTTACAAAATATTAACAAAGCGCATGTAATCGCTTTTTTATTGCTTTGCAAGCGCTGCTGTGCTACTTGAGATGATTAGATAATTAAAGAAATAAAAACTCATAATTTTCATATTTGTAACTTGTTTTTATATAAAACAGCTAAAAATGAATTCTATAAATGCGAAAATTAAATCTTATGGTTTTCTTTTACAAATTGCATACTTTAACACGTTGAATGCCATGCTGATATTACATGATTTGATGAGACAACTATTTTTATATGTTCTATACTGCATTAATTTCTTTACACTATTGTAATAACGACAATAATATTAAAAAATTTAGAAATATTGACATTCGAATTATGTGTTTCTATTAATCTTAACATATCGCTGGTCATCGGTGCCTCCATGGCATTGAACATATTAAATAATAGTATCTACATCATTAATAATGTTACATTGTTTTACATGTTTGAAGTTTTCTAAATCAGTTTTATTTAGATTTTTTCCTTCTTTATTTTATTTTTATAATATATGATTTTTAATTTGAAAAAGGGAAAAACCCGGGAAAAAATATTTTACGTATAATT